TATTTAATTTTCAAATTTTTGTACAGCTGTTATGCCATCTATTCACTACAATGTCAGTCAACATCATATTTTAGCTGCTCATCTTTATCCATATGCAACTGTAACTTTCACAATTATCATCGTTTATTGTACTTATTATTTATTTCTCGTATTCCAATAAGTGTAATTTCCAAATATCATGCTTTTATACACTCACTATTGCAGTTGTTGAACATCCTACGCGTACATTTTTAATTAGCTCTCGTATATAGTATGTTCTTTTCTGTAATCACTTATTATTCATTTCATTTGTACTACTGAAGAAGAAGTCGGTTTAGACTTCGAAACGTTTAGCAGTTGTAAATACATTTATAAAATAAAAGAAAATTCTACGAGGAAAACAAAATTAAATTTAAATGTGATTTTCTTATCATATATATTATCAACAGAATTAACACTACCTCGTATCAAATTTATATTACACATTCTTGTATTGTGGTCACAAATGTTTTTATTAAATTTTGTTACTTTGTCAAATAGAAATACTAATGAGAAGTTTTACATTTTTAGCTTTATACACGTGTGCTTTGACAAAGTTCTATCATTAACGTATAGTACAACAAATAGATTGCAGATCTACAGTTTAGTGTATTTATATGAGTATGTTTTGAACCAAATTTTCTAAATGTACTTTCTATAACGGAAATAATTGTTGATATGGGCTGACATGTGCTGACGCGGCTAGAGACATAGTTGCATTTTTGTAATAATTTATGATTATTCTTCGTAGTTACCATATACTTAGATAATTATGACGACAGGACAAAAGTACAATTTTGGATTTATGCTAAAATTTCAAAAGATTCAACCTTTAACGCTTTGACAGACGGATTTTCGTTGGCCAAGTTCTGTCGATGATAGGATAAAGTGAACTTTGATCTGGACTATCAAATGCATGAGTTGGGTCAACAAGAAAAGGATGCTGCACGTGTGCGGTGAATGTTTGTAGCTATCAGAAATATACATAGAAGTTCTGGCGAAATTTAGAAAAGGACTGAATAGAGGGGAATACATCTCATAATATAGTATATAGTCATTCTTTTCATAAAAATCATTGCTTTTAATTTATTACAATTTTGTGATAAAAAACATGTTCTATCGCTTGTTTAAAGGTTAATCTACGGAGAAAGCAAAGTAAATTCTTAGTTTTGAATAAAAGTAGTTTTTTCAACAAACTTCAATATGAAGAGAATTAAAAACGATCTACATCTAAATATTTGTGTTATTACAGATGAAGATTATGTATCTATTTTATTTTAAATATGCGTACATTTTGACCTATGCACTAGTGTTTGAACTGTAATCAAGAGAACAACAACAACTTGAGTGAATAAAAGAGTCATTATTTGCTAAAGATGAGTAGGCAGCTGTAAATTTAGACGATAAGAACAATACAAGAGCAATAAGAAAAGACGTTTCGAACATACTATTGTGTAATTACTGCATTTTCTAACGGTTGTGCAAGACTGAGAGAAAAACATATAAAAAGCCTGTGCAATAATGCTTTCAACATCATTCTCTCTTTTTCGTCTCTAAATTATATGATTTTTTGGCGACAAGGTAGAGTGTATTCAAGTTCTCGTCACAAAAAATAATGCATCCTTCGTAGTTTCCCTAGTTTTTAACTAGGGACTATCGGCTTTTGGGTCCTGAACATACAAACGCAACCCAGCCATCGTTCTTTAACAAGAATGCTATTGGGTAAATGTTCAGTCAACCTGATTGCCACCTTTTATCATACGTTTGGTTAGTGTTGTTCGATTTTATATAGTTACAAACTAACTCGTACGAAAATGTTGGCGACAGAGTAGAATATAAAAAGCAAAAAAAAACGATTAGTTCATGTGAAACTACGACGATATAATTATTTCCAGGACGGTAACTTGAATATATTTTGCTTCTTACACCAAACTCTATAGTTAATGAACGATAAAGTAATCTTTTTTCAAACGATTGAAAGGACAAGACACGGTAAGATTTTTATTAACCTCCTTGTATTTGATTTAGGTATACAGTCAATTGATCAAGGTCAAAGCACTTTTTAGTATAGCACCTCAGCACCTTTTACCAAAACAAGGTAGTAGCAACCGAAACGATCGATTTAGTCTGCCAGTATAATGTTCTCGCTTCGTAAAATTCAAGATGGCGGATGGGTAAAGGAATCGAATCCGACCGCGAACTTTTTATTATTATTTTGGTTTCACTTTAATAAAAAATAAAGTATTGAATTAACACGATGAATCATGAATCTTCCACGAAAATGTGAAGTAGTAATGCGTAGGAGTTTGTGTAGGACAATAACATCAAAAATACTCATCATATGGACTTACTATTTGATGTTCGTGTAATTTACACTGACAAAATATCATGTACTAAGACTTTTAAAAGAATTTGATCCATTTCCATTTCAGTTTCGATTTATTTACGTGTCATAACATGTAGACAGTATCATGAACATTGAATTATGTACGTATACAAATAAAACAGAAATTAATAAAACGAAATGCGAGATACATTTAATTTTTAAAATACAAGAAAAAATAGATCAGCATTTTACAACAATAATAAGGAGACTTTCTTTTTACATAAATAAACTAAAGACGCTGTTACAAAAACAAAAACAAAAAATTTTTTTATGAAACCGTTCTAACAATGAAGAATGAATATAAGAAAAGAATACTGTGTCAGTTAAAAAATGACTCCTGAGTTAAGGCATTCCAATAATAGATAATATTACACCTGTGATTCATAGTCAGCATCCGATACATTTGGCATCGGTGGTAAACGAGATACCCATATCTCTGTTCGATTAAAAGGCGACGGTTGTACCGCTGTTGTAGTTGTGTTTGGTATTGTTGTTACCGTTGAAGATGAAAGAGGTGGTGATAAAATCAATTGTGTTAAAGGAATTTGACTTTGTAATGGCATAGGAGGAAGTGATAAACGTTCCGAATTAAATAGCGATGCTAATATGCCCGTATCATCTGTATCGACAGATACTCGTTGTTTGAATGCTGATGGTGGAGCATCCGTTTGTTGATGTTGTTCGAGTAACGGGACAAGACGATCCATTACTTCGTTGGATAAAACTTGGTCATGTTTGCTAAACAAATAAACATAAATAGATAAAATGTTGAAATAAAACAGATGTTGAATTTTCAGAATGAATAATAATACACATATATAGGCTGTTTAATCGAACAATAATTTTCAATCACATGCACATGCGTCAAACAGAAACGTTAAAAATTTTAATCGTAACAATATAAAGATCTCTTTTGTGAGTAAGCGTTTGATTCATCCCTTTTTATTAAAGATTTTTATAGGAAAAAAATGTTTTTTAAATTTTTTCGTATTGACAAGATGTTTGATTAGACATAATGTCGATTATTTTCTCAGAAGAATGATTCGTTAGTTATATCTTCTGGGGAGAAAGCGAAGACAAATTAATCTTCTGCGTAAAAGGCACATGCAGTAAATAAAATCTCATGCGCTTTGAAAAAAGCATTCTGACCTACTCTTCTCTCTGATGTTAACTAAAGAGATAATAAACAAAATTTTATTGCTTTAATAACTGTTCTGAATCAATTGAGAAAATTACCTTGTTGGATGAAATATATCATTCATTTCTTTTGTAGCATCATACGTCATCGTTGGCACACTTTCCGATAACTTGAACATAAAAATAATAATTAATAATTTATAATGTTCAAGTAACATATACTTACATTGGTTAGTTTCATAGGACCTTTAGTTAACCGTTGAGCTGTATCACGTTTTAATCCTCGGAATGTTCGCATTTTAGGCTCATTTCCTTGTCCGATTGTTTGTAGCATACTTCTCTTATAGAAATTTGACTTGTCTACGGATGGACTTCGATCACCAGTGACCGTTATAGACCGAGATAAATGTACGGGAGGATGATTTTGTACGGCTTGAAATTTTAACAAAAAAAGAAGATGAATGAATAAATTCATTAGATTGATTTTAGTTACCTTGTTGTATAACGTCAACATCATCACTTGTTCCCGATATTCGTTTTAGTGTTAAATCGGTTGTTGATATAATTGGTATGTCGGCTACTTCCACTAAAAATAGAGAAAAGAACAAATAATAATGAATTAAAAAGTGTTAGTTTTAGCAAGTAAAAGCTACAATACCTCCAGAACGTATACGATAACGACTACGATAAATATCTAAAATGTCTAATGCTTCTTTAATCCGTATCTTTTCCGTCTTTTTTCTTGGTGATGTATTTAGACTGCTATCACTTGATTGTTGACGACGTATTCGCAAAGCAGTTCTTGAACTACTACCACCACCATCACGATCTTTCAAGTCAATTGCTTCTGTATCAAAACGAACTTTTTCAGTTGTTTTTGCATCATAATGAAATGACGTTTTAGATTCGTCTATGGAACAGAAAATAAAAGATTTATTGAAAACGAAACCAAAAAAACAATTTTATTTCAAATTTTATATAACAACAGCAAACATCATGCAATAAAAATGAATCGATTTTATTTCCAAGAATATTGACAGGCTCACTCATCAGATTTTTACACTCTTAGCATGCATTTTTCCTTAACTATCCAACAAACCGTGCATAAAGTTCTGACAAACCTATTACAGATGAGAGATGATCTATTTCTATTGGCCGTACAAATAAATCATCTCGTTTTCTACGGCGAGGTAAAATTATTCGCTTTTTTTTTAAACCTATATTTTGTCGACTCAACACTCTCGTGTATTCAAATTGAATTCCTAATAAATATTCATTATTTATGAATGATATCTATATAATAAGATAGACAATCGATTTACCTGTTAGTTCAGCTTTGAGTTGATTCAATTCTGACATTAAACTATTGAGAACTTCGCCGGAACATTTTGACGGTGTTAGTTTATCAAATATTAATTTTTGTTGAATTTGACTAATTAATTCATAATCACGATCATTTTCACACGTTACTGTTGACATCTGACAAGACAACATTTTTATATTTTATAAAAATTCTCATTAAAAACATAGTCTACTTACATAATGAAATAGAAATGGTCTTAGTATAACAAATATTGGCGTTTTATATGAAACGATAAAATCAATAAATGAAAGCAATATTGACGATATATTGGTTTGTTTTCCACACATTAATTTTATTGCTTGTGCTATACGTTGCCATTCTTTTTTCAATTGTTTTGTAAAACCAATAATTAAAATTTTTAGTCCTTTTAAAATTAAAATATATCGATTTTTATTTACTTTATTCAAACGAGATTGCAACTGCGCTGTCGACAGACTCTGTCTCTGACTCTGACTCAACCTACTGCTTCGTATACCTGCCACTCTGAGCATTGCATTTTTGCTTTGATTTACTCTTTGAACTGCGTATAAGATAAAAGAACAACGAAAGAAATTTGAAAAAGAGAAACTCTGACTAAATGGCACCGGACAAAAAATAAAAATAATAATCTAAGTCCAACAGCCATTTTTTTTTGCCCACCTATGGAGTCTATACCACCGAGTTTGGATCTTTAATTGAGTAAAAAACGTGCAATGGTCAATTTTCAGTTTTCGTAGAACATAGTCCCTTTTTCAAACTTTTCTAGGACGAGTAGTTTGCTGGATCATGACCTTCTCGTTTCGCAAGAGAAGATCGTAAAAAAAAAGAAAATTCCCAGCATAAATGTCTATCGACATAAATATAATAAAAAACATTTGTTTACCTAGTAACGATGCCGTTTGATTAAGATCTTTCAATTGTCTCATTGATTTATGTGTAAATGAATTGCTTAATAATGCTTCACCAATCGTTAAATGTTGTTTTTGTCCACTCGAACCACCTCCAGTTCCTGATCCACCAGCACCCGTTCCCATGGCCGATGCTAATTTTGATGTTGGTTTTAATGAATTAATTAATATTCCTATCACATAGGATAAATCAATGGGATGTATTTTTGGTGCATCTTTTCTACCACTACCCGCCCAAAACATTAATGGAAGAAGAAAATGTAATAAATGATTAATCGCCGATGGTACATTGGGAAATGTCCAATTTCCACCGGATAATGCTTCAAGATTAGGTTGATTCTAAAATAAAAGAATTTAACATAATATATCCTATTCTATGCTATAACTACTATTTACTTTAATTGCAAGTAAATATCTTCCAACTAATTTAATAACAGCTCGTGAAAATGCTTTTGGAAATGCTGGTGTATCAAAACGTGGCACTGAATGACTTGATTCGCTCACATTTTCATTCAATACTAATGCTATACATTCCGAAACTAACATCTAAATAAAAATAATTTATCTAAATATGTTACTATAGTAAAAAGATTTGCGCGTACCTTTAAATATGGAAAATGTGCAATATAGGGATGTCGATCTAATGTTAAATAAATACCATTTAAAATCCCTGCCGTTGCCTCCCAATCAAAACAACGCTAAAAACAAAAAAAAGTGAATGATGTTAGTTTATTTTAATTATATTTTTTTTTACTTTATACTCTACCTTTGACATGGGTTTTTTACATATTTTTGAAAACATTCTATCCATTCGTCTTAATAAATTATTTAATGCTGGTCGCAATGTTTCATGACTCCAATTTGTACATGGTAATAATTTTTGAAAATAATTTTGTAAACCACGACATGACATTGTTATTGGATCATAGCCACCTAATTTTAACAGTGTATGAGCAATATCGGCTAAACGTGTATGAGATTTAGCATCTAATAATTCTGGTAAACGTAATTGAGGATCATTTATTAATTTTGCCAATTCTTTTAAACGTTTTGTAGAAAAATGAACAAATGTTGAAATAACAGATAATAATGTATCACGTGGCCATCTAAAAGAAATATAAATATAATTTTATTATTAAATTTAATAAAATTTTCAATACATACCGATATTCACTTGCTTGTTTATGTTCATCAGCGTCTTGTACTTTATTCTTACGATCGTCAATAAAACGACTAAATATAAAACATACATTAGATTGAAAACGATTTATTTAATTAAATTTTACCTCATTGAATCTTCATCAGGAACGATTGATGGCGATCTATTTGATCCTCTTGAATGTTTATAACTTGTTCCACTTAATGTTTCATGTTTTGGTCCGGCAAATGTTCGTGTTAATGTTTCTGATGCTGTTATCATTGTCTTAATAGCCACTGATAATTTTTCAATTATTTTCATTTCGTCTCGTGCTTGTTCTTGCGAATCATTTGTTGTTGTTCGATATTTTAAATATTCTAAATAACGTGGTAATAGTAAATCAATAATACCTAACATTTGTAATGACCGAATTGAATCAGGAGCATAGGCAACTAAAAATGACCAAGATATTTACCAAAAAAGAAGATGGTTAAATAATGTGATCACTTATACATACCAACGGTAACACAAACATCAAAACAGTTTAATAAAGTAAAAAAAGAATCATCTTCTGCATAGCAAAAGTCCAATGTTTTGATTCCAGTTACACCAGCAGAACCTAATGCACTACCACTTAGCGCTTGTATACCAGCTGTAACAGTTGTTGTTTGTTTATCATCTTTAACTAATTCTAATATTGAATATTCATCTCTCAATGCATCACTATGATTATATTCCAATGCAATTAATAAACGAAATAATGCGACTGGTTGTATTTTATTTGTATCGGTTATATCAGCTTGTTCATCAAAATCTAGTAGTTGTGATATACTACCCAACATTTGTAATATGAATGGTACACGATGTAAGATATAAAATTGTCTACAACAGTATTCAATTGCTTTTTTTAACATTGGATTACTTTGAATATTCGAATAGACACGTAAAAATGTTGGCATTATTAATAAATATCCATTTGTAGCAAATATGTGTTTATAATGTCGTGCTGTACTAATATACGTTGCTAAAGAATATCTTAACATTGCAAAATCTTCACAGTGTAATATGAATGCACCATTAATAACGTTTAAAAATAATGTGATGTCCCATGTTGTTGATGTTTTACCGTTCATATTGAAAAACATGCAAGAGATGAGTTTAATCCAATTATATTTATGTAACATATCTAAATTAAATAATTCTTTATCAGGCATTTTCATGTATAAGTTATAATCAGATTCCAATGGTTTTCGTGGAAAAAATGGACATTTCATTAGTTCATCATGGAAAAACGTTACAGAATTATGTATTTGATTATACTGGGTATTTTCCAGCAGATGACCTAAAAGAAATAGAATCATAAAGTATTTTTCTCCACAAAAGAATCATAATATACGTACGTGCAAATAAGACTTTAGATAATTCTGTTGTTTTTAAGAAGAGACACATATGTTCAAGTTGTTTTTGTGCTTGTTTATGTTCCATGTACACCAATGATAATTGTGGATAAACATTACGTCGAAAAAAATAAAAATCGCGTACGTATGTATCTGGAATATGAATCTGTGACGTTTTAACATCGATGAGATAATAACGATCACGTTTTGATTCTTGAATACCAAAAAAATCTAAAGCTTCTTGTAAAACGGCACTAAATTGTGTATCTTCTTGTATGATGGCTTGAGTGGGTATTTGTGATAGATCCGGGCCGTGTATAATAACTTTTTTCGTAGACGGTATATTTCCGGTAATCAATATCATTTGTTCAGCTTGCTCTTTACGCAGTATTTGTTTCAAATCTTTCAATACAAGACCATGTAAAAAGGGAATGATTTGCCATAACAATGTTAAAGCAGCGGCAATTAACTCTTGACTACCATCTAATGGTGAACGAACCATACTCATCAATAGACCAAGAACATAATTGAATATAGCATGAGCAAATTGTGGAGGAATATCAGATAAACATATCATTAGACGACGTAATGATTGCAATGATTTTGTCTAAAATATAAAGAAATTTAGCTCAGGATTTGATTCAGCGATTTACACAAATGTAAGAATACTTACACGTCGCTCTTTATGTGATAATTTTTCGAAAAAGAAACGTATTAATAAGGCTGGTTCATCCAATAAACATGTCCACAATGCTTTTCGAGCAGCTTCAGACACTAAAAACAGTATCAACAAGATAGTTAAATAATTTATTAGGAAATATAGAAAATATTTACCAGTTGCACCGCTCTCAACAATTTCCTCATCTTCCAACATTTCAACGAGAAGAAACACGGCAACACTGAATGATGATGGAAAGGCGCCTTGAGCTTGGCGAATTTGAACACTTTCAACAAAACGATCGTCGTCATTATGAACTTCTTCATCTTCATCTCTTTGTTGATGTAACAGTGGTTCGAACGATGCCGATTGTAATATTGGTACATTTGACATAGCAAAATTTTCTCTTGCCACACGCTTACTTGTCTCTTCTGCTAGTAATGCCGTATGTAGCAATTCTTGTTGATGCTTTTTACGTGTTTTACTTGCTGTAACAACCGCTCGTACTTCTTCTTGATTTAATGCTGCTTGTTCCACACGAGTTTTAGCATGTGGTAACCACGGTGGATCAACTGCGTGTAAATTTAAAATGCCTAATGCCGGTGATGGTAGTACAAATTCAATACCTGGTGGTAAAATCTAATAAAAATGTAAATAGTAGTAACAAAAAATTAGAGAATGTGCAGTACTATGCGTACCTTCATCATCGAATGAGCACCTTCTTCTAATCGAATCCAAAATTGATAACGAAAACGCCATAACGTTTGAAATTTTAATATGGCATTATATCGAACAATACCAGATGCATTTTCCATTTCATTATGAAACAATTTATCAACTAGATGGCCAGCACGTGCTGCTGTCAAAATGACAATCGTGGCTAAAAAAAAGTGGACATATATAATGTCAATAGACATCAATTTTCACATATTACTTACCAGCGCATGCAGCTAGTTCTTCATCTTTATCAAGTAAAAGTTCCCATGAAAACTTTAACACTTGTGCATAATGTTCATCTTCTAACAGTACAGATGATTTGCACAAAATCATCAATGGTACTTGAGATAACGTACCAACCTAAAGGGAAAACGGTAAACTTTCGAATAATCATTGTATTCTAAATTTTATACCTGTTTTTCTAAATATGATGCAATTCCCGTAAAATGTGTATTAATTTGTTGTTCAAATAATGGATCCGCTGTTTCAAATACATTTCCAAATGATATTTCATGATTTGTTTTTGTACCATGAGTATTATAACCTGATATTGTTGTTGTGGCTGTTGCATGATAATCAACACCTTCACCAAATAGACATGTTGATAACTAAAAAGAAATAATAGTAGATTAGATCATCAATTAATGTTAATAATAAGCAAATGAACTTACCCGTCGTTTTTTCATTTCATTTCGTGTATTGTCTCGTTTCAATATATGCTCTTTTGAACGATGTGTGGATGATGATGAACGTGAAAACGATGAAGTCGTTGTTTGAGCAGTCGATGATGATTGACGGTACATGTTCAATAAAGCTTGTATTAAATTTTTACAACTTGCAGTCTGTTTTTCATAACAATTTTTCACACACTTCATGTGATCACAACCAAAATGAACATCATTCAATACACGAATAACAACCTAAACATAAAACATACATAATACGTGTTGGTTATACATTAAACTGATGAAACAATTACTTTAATCCACGGAAATGGTTTTGTATTGATCATATCATCAAAATTAGCATTATCAAATTCTTCATCGACATTATAAACATCGGATGGTTCTATTTGACTACCTACACCGCTCTGATGATCAGTTTCAGATGATATATTTGATGCATGACTACGACGTCGATAACGATACGATGAACGACGTATACCTTTCGAAATTGAAGAAAAAATATTTAGAGTATAACATACTCAATTTATTTTAAACATACTTTTGGTATCTTTCATACGTAACGATGGTCGCCGTGATTTAATACTACTTCGTCGAATTAATTTTGATTTTCCACCACCTTGTCTTGGAGCAACTGACACTAAAATCACATAAACATGTCCTTTCAATCAAACAAATTTTAAATATTCATCTTACTTCGCCTCTCATTCATGAAACTACTAGCATTTCCATCCACAACAACGGCATCATCTTCTGGCATATTTATTGCCGTATGATTACTTCCATTTGAATCATTCTCTTTATTAACAGCAAAACTTATGTGTCGTTCTCCAGTTGAAGCAATACTTGGCAATGGACCAATATTAATAATAGTTGTTGCTGTTGTAGTTGATGAAGATGGAGCTGGAGCGGTCGATGGTGCAGCTGACATTTGTGGTGAAACTAAAAATAAATATAGCAATATTTTTAAAAGTTCATCAGTATGTTTGGAAGACATACGAGCAGGATGTTCGGATGATATTGATGGTGAACTTCGATTTGAATCATGTGACACAACACTACTCATTCTCACACGAGATGAACGTTTTTCATTTGGATTAAAATTTTCTGTGTTTGTTCCACCACTTGTTGTATTAGTCACAGGACGTTTTTGTGATACTGATGATAGTTTTGGTAATGAATCATAAGATTCACGAAGAAAAGATGTAATTTCCAGTAGAAGTAAACATGCGACCATACGTAATGAATATGAACACGAACGACCAGAACGATTAATAATAGCTAAAAAAAAAATAAATAGTCAGTTAAAGAAACAAACCGACGCATACACATATAAAACATGCAAAGCACATAATTAGACATAAATACACAAAACATGATAAAATAATTGAATAAATTCCATCATATAGACAACATCAACAAAAGCCATGACAATACGTGCTTGTTGTACCTTCATTGTAATAATCATCAGGTGTTTCATCATAATTCCAAAAACCTTGTAAATCATTTTGTTGTTGTTGATAATAATTGGATAATATTTCACTTTCATTTGGGTTTACCGAACGATTAGTTGACAAATTCTGCTGTTCATTATCAAGAATAGATTCTAATTGTGCTGATAAAGCCTTTAGCAAAAAAAGTGCACACTGATTTTTCAGTCCTATCACTTGGTTTTAGATTATGATCATTCATTTTAAGCAGAAAGAACGAAAAAGTTAGAATTTGTCTCATGCTGACAAAATTTTATATTAGAAATCAAATATTACCTCTCCCCAAACATAAAACATTCTTGCTGCTGCTGCTTGATATAATTTGTTCATTCTTAAATTCATATTTCCATTTCTAATTGGAAATGAATCGTGTGGTCGAAATGTTGATAAATTAATTTTCATCCATTCTGGCCATTGACCAATTGAACAACGTCGAACAAAATAAGCACATTCAAGTAAATAGGATGCTTTAGCAATAACTGGTGCTTCCTAGAATAATTTAATGAGAAGTAAAACATTTAATGAATTATTATCCTATTTCAGTTTACTTACCAATACCAACAAAGTATTTAAGAATTGTGGATCGGGTAATGAACCAGGTGGACAACTTTCCATCATGAAATTAAGACGAAGTAAACCAAAACGTATTAAAGTTAAATCAACGTATAAACCTTCCTCAGGATGTGTATATAATGTATGCTCATCACTGGATGATGCCCGAAGTCGATCTAAAATATTATTTTTCATTAGTAAATAACACATTATATTAACATTTATCTAACTTTTAAATTTGATGCTCGAAGATGGTACTATTCCAACTCCGCCAACAGTAGTGTTATTCTCATCAGGCAATGTATGTATTTGAGCACTACTACTTGTACGTGTTTTAATCGGATCAATATTTTTGTCTATATCAATTTCATCAGATAAATCACGATTCAAAACAGACTAAAATAAAAACAAGAGAAAAAAGTGTAGAAAAAATAAAAATAAAAATAAAATGCGAATAAATAATTTTTACTTACTTTTCCAACAACAGCATCTTGTCTATTTAATACAGGATGTCGAATATTTGTTGATGATCGATTTGTTTGTTGTCTTGTTGATAATTCTGTTTCTCGTTTTATTTTTTTAGCTGAATCTAATAATGATGAAAATGCCACTAATCGAAATATTCCACCATGGTTTTCTTTGACACATGTTAAAAATGCTCGACACTCCCCATACAAAGCTACATTTTCTGAACTCATTAAATATTCTTTCATCATGATAAGGCGTGTAACAAATGGTTTAAAAATAACACCTAATATAAAACCTTCAACACCTTTTGGGCCATAACCCAAATGAGTATTACCAAAATTATTTGAATATGTCTGATAAGAATACAAATCATTTTTTATTGGAACTAAAACAACAATTATAATAATTAAAATATTCTTTGTTTAAAAAATAATAGCACATTTTTTACTTACTGTAAGGCGCATAATGAGCAAGGCCAATTGATGATTCAGAACAATAACCACATAAGGCATGAAAAATATCAAGAATATGAACAAGATCACCGTGTATTGTTAAATCAAGAAAATATCTACAAGAGAAAAACAGGTATTACAATAGAACAGTAGTTTTTAACAACAAGATTTATTTTACTTTTCAAAACGTCGTTGATTAAGTGTTCGTAGTTTATTCAATGACAGACGAACTTTACCGCGCAATTGATCTGAGGTAAAACTTCTTGCACGGGGTTGACAATGAGGGCATCCAAGACGTTTTATTATGCTAAATTGAATAATAATACAAACTTGATTTTTAAAACAATTTTTAAACTTAGAATTACTTACCGTAGTGTAATATCAACAGCTAATTGAAATTTATCATCTTCTTTTGCATCCATTGCTTTCATCCATTCTTCCGTTCGATTTCCTCCTACTCCTTTTTCTCTACCTTGTTTTTGTTGATTGTTTGTATCGTCACTGCCATTTGTGTTCGATAATTTCACTTTTCCAACCAACAGTTCTCGTTTGTGTACATCGTCATCAGACGATGCAATAACAGCTAATCCCAGCAGAACATCTAATATATTCATGACTAATTCACATACTTTTAAATGATGTTCTTTACATATAACTGCATGTATTCCCGCTAGTACAACACCAAAATTAATTGTACCATCTCGATTAATATAGGCACTTGAACCTTGAGCTTCTTCAATCTCTTCAAGAAATTTATAATTGATATCTGTATCACTTACACTCAGTTGTTTATCAATTTTCTGTTTATTATCAACTGTGATTGGTGGAGTTGTTACTGGAAGTGTGATATTTGATGATGATTTCAATGATGTTTCACTTTTATCATGAGCAGGCTTGGGTATTGATGAACGCTCTTTTGAATCAATGATGGGCATGGATTTTACGCATTTTTCACTCAATAATAATCGTCTTGGATGTTGAGGATGAATACCACCATCTTTATCACGTTTTTCATGATCAAAATGTTCTGCACCTTCCTCATCAATATAACGAATTTTACTAAAAAGACAAATATATACAGCCAATTTAACAGGTAAAATAACGATTTATTAATAAATCGAGACATGCATTTGTACTGTTTTTTTTTTTTCTCATTGGAGTACGTTTAAACAACACATGGAAATTAAATATTTTTACATCTTCTCGTTCAACACTTTACATATGATAAAGTTATTTGAACAAGAAGAGAGAGGTATGATAACATTAAAAAAAATTGAAAACATTGAAAGTTATATCGTTACCCTTTTGTTAGCAGAAGTTGTTTTTGTCTTCAAAAGAAATAATAAATGTAGAAATAGTCATTGAAAACATATATTCGGTTGTTTAATAGTCTTTCTCAAATTAATATTGTTAATTTTCATTACTATCGAATAAATGAGTAAACTTACCTTATTTTTTTATAAAAATTATCATATTTTTGATTATGTTTGTATTTTCCAAAGTGTTTAAATGGCACATTTAACAATGTTTGGGTTTGTTTTATTGCTGACATTGTTGTATTTGGAATGGTTGTCATCATACATTGTTGTTCAATAATATCATTTGTTACTTGCTCATTAAAATATTGATTTTTCATATAATCATAATAGTCTTGTTCATCTTTAATATTAATTTGTGGTATCGATAAACTTTTAATACGTAAAATTGAAAGTGTTGTATCAGATAATATTTCATCACTTATATCGATGATACGCTTGTGTAAGTATTCTAAACACCATAGATAACCATCTGTTAACCACGATGGACTAAATAGTGTACGCAAGATACTAATATCAAAATAAGTGGCTAATAACACCATTTCAGATGTATAATGAGCTTTTTTCTTTGTAGTTGCTACCAACGATTCTTTTCTCATTGATGACTTTTGTACATCGTCTGACTGCTTTGATTTTTGACTCGACAAAGGTGGATGAGACAAAGTGGAAGAAACAGTGGATGGAAGCGGTTGTTGTTGTTGTTGTTGTTGCTGTTGTTGCTGTTGTGTTATACAATTCAAACAAAGATAAGGTGAATCTTTTCCATTTGTTGCTGTATTGAACGATTGGTGACATTGAACGCATACAAATGGTGGTGTTGAAGTCGATGAGGTAGATGAGGGAGATGGCAATGATAATAGAACAAATTTATCAGTACCTAAATAGAGAAGTTCGTTAATTGATCAAATTGCAGATTATTGACGGAACTTTTTATGAAGGACTTTAGAGCACCTTCCAGTTTAAATTCAAGACTAAATTACCTGGACTTTGAGGCGATATTGTTAGTCTACTTGAGTCTGATATGGAACAAATCGAACTCATATGAGCCAGTGGCGCACGATGATAAGGTGGCTGCTGTGAGATATAAGCTAAATTATTAATTGAACTGTTCGTTGTTGTTGTATCTGAATCCATCATAACTGATGATGATGAAGTTTTGTTTCCTACTTGTTGTTGCAGTATGGTTGCTACTGGTGGCTGTTGATATAAACTTGTACTACTTCCGTCGCTAACAATCAATGGTAGTGGCGGAGGTGGTGGGGGTGCAGATGGATAATTTGTTAGATCCGTTAGGGGTTTCTGTTGTGAGTCACTTTTGATGTTCAATGGAATCATTGAAAATGAACGCGTCGGTGGCATACGATGTTCTTTTTCATGATCATTATCATTTTCGTCTTCCTCTTGTTCTTCTTCAATGGCGTTTGATGTTGCTATTGGTGTGGGCGACTCGATAAAGAAAGATAAACGACTTTTTGGATTATTTTTGATGAAAAATGTAACATTATTTGAATGTCCCTTATCGTAACTGATAAACCCATTATTTGTACAATTTCCATATTTCAGTATCGGTTTAACGTATGCTTTAAACATTCGAATATTTGGTTGGCGATATTCGAGAAGTGGTTGCCACAGTAACCTCATACCATCCGACAAATCAGCATTTTTCAAAAATTCTTTTTCGTTATACTGCATGTACGTGTGAACATAGGGTATAAATAAATAAATAAACAACTGAATTGTGCTCAATGGCAATAAGTAACTTGTACTATCTTCGTCCGAATAGTCAGGAGTTTTACATACACTGAATGCATCTAATATCATCCAATGTAAGGTGTGTAAGAGACGAATTTCTGTCTTGCCTAAGCGATGACTATGGCTATTTTGACTGGTTGAGATAGACGGTGGTGGTGACGAAGATAAACGAAATAATGGCAATGGTTGAGCTTGAGCTTGTACAAGAGGTATTGGTAATTCAGCTAATGAGGGTGTTGGTAATGAGGGAGAAAAGGGAAGAGTCGGTGTACCGGCTGTCAATTGAGATGTTTGAAATTGTAATGGTACTTGAAGTTGACTTGATGATGAGGGTGAAACAGACAGAGATGAGGATAAAAGTGCTGTTTGTTGTTGTTGAGTGTGAAGGCTATGTTCGATGGATGCAGCACATGCATGCATCACATGTGGAAATGCCGCTTTAATTAGTAACCATCGTTGAATACTTGTTATGGCATCGGATAGACTTGGCGATAAACCATGAAGAACATTTTCAACTAATACACGTTCAAAACTCTAAAATAAACCGTAATAACCAAACATTATTGTAAAGAAAATAACTTGAATTAAAACATCGATTTTTTTTATTATTTTTTTTAAGTTAATTATTACTTACAATGGCCGATGCATCTGTTAAGTTACCAAACTTCTGTTTAATGAATGGGCTAAAAGAAAAAGCACATGTTATTTGAAATTGAGTATAAAACACTGACAAAAAACTTACTTGCTCTGATTCCATAAAAATATCTGCACAGGTATGGGTATAACGTCATCGTTATCAGACGATGATTTATCAGCATTTCGTTGATTACTTGATGTATTATTAGTCTGACGTTTTGGCATAAAAGGGTAAATAACTAAACACAAAATTCACAATAGACTACCAATGAAGAAAACAAATAATTTATATTAACAGTTAAACTATCTATATTCTCTTCTAAAATAGAAAAATACAAATTATAGTTTAGTGGTCTTTCTTTTCATTTCAGATCGCTATCAGAGCAATTTGAAATACATTCTACAGCTAACAAAAATGTCTATCTTAGTTCTCAATTCTTCTGCTCTTTCAGTAAATAGCAAAGTTTGAGGATACGTTTCGCTGAGAGTATGACGGCCGTATGTTTTTCTTATTTAAATTGGTACTAATTAATTCTAAATTTAATACAGTATTTAATCTTAGATGGAAAAATAAAAATAACATAACAACATTGAAATGTGGGCGTTTTATTTTATATTGAAAACAACTGAACCTTAGTAACTTTTGAGCTTTAGTTAAACATTGTGGAAAAGCAAAAAAAATACAAAAAAAACACATAACAATTATTCTTCGTTTGTACAGTTTGTAACTTTTCTTTTTCTTGTATTATCGACAATACTTGTTGTTGCTGTTGTATAATATTCGCGTTTGTTTTTTTCCATTTTCGAGTCATAGCCAATAATTTCAAATGAGAAGGACGAAAAGCTTTATCATCGAAAATACTAGTTGCATAATATTCCTCTTAAGTATTAGTATCGGTCTAAAAGAGAGGAAGAGAGAAAGATATGAGAGACAATTTCAGAAATAATTTCAAATTCGGTAAACTAAAACACTATTTATCAAATATTATATGAGAATAGAAAAACTTCAATCTTATTTTTATCTACCTCATACAATTATCGTGTTCGAATTCTAAAAATTTTTCATATATGCTAATATTCGACATCGTTCACATTCTCTTAATTGTATTTCCATATAAATATAACCACGAAATACTTTATCTTTTGAAATAAACTAATTACTGTATCCTTTCAAACAAAAAGAAGAAGAGCAAAAATTAGTTGGTGAAACTTTTATTTGCCTTATTTCACATACCAAAATTTTTCTAATTGCTTGTTATTGTTTTTGACTAAATTTCAAATTGTGCATAATATAGCCATATTTTACCAAATGTCAACTATTTATGTGATAATAAGTTTAAACATACTTTATAAACTTCGCGTGTATGATCAAATCATTTGCTTCTAATTCTTCAAATAGAGCATAATTTAATTTATACATAAATGTAGCGACATCAATAATGTTTTTTTTTTCTAGAAAATGCAGAGAATAATAACATTTTTTATTTATATGTGTGACTTAAACATACTTGTAATAGTAGTATTTAAACTATAGCTGTTTCATATGTATCACATATCAAATTAAAATCACCTTCACTTTCTAATAAACGTAGATAATCAAACCATGTGTCATAATCCATTGGATTTTCTTTCAATTCCTAATTTGGACTGGACGCCACACAACAATAAAGGGATAAAGAGAGAGAGGGTCAGTCTAAACATACTTCTTCACATTGGAATTTTTTTTACTCGTAATAATATCTTCGATTTTTCTTGCCGATTTAATATAACCATTTTGTTTTTCAAATTGTGCATATCGTATCAAATTTTTTGCTTCTGGATGTATTATAACAAATCGTTCATATAATAAACACTCTCGTTCTAATTCATCAGAACGTTCAAATCTACTATAAATAGTTCATCTGATTTCCACTTCATCGTTCGACATTTGTCGACAACCAGTGATATTCGATAATATCTCGTTTCATATAAGTATATTTATACCATAATTGATTTGTACAAGGTAATATGGCTATAGTACGATTCCAGATATTATGTGCAAGATTGACTTGTTAATATATCATTTTCATTTCGACATATTTAAGTCAAATGGGAATGTTATGATAATCAACGTCCATTGTACGTTTCCCTATTGAACGTGCACATTGAATTTCTTATTCTATTTCTTCCTCATGTACATATTTAACGATATTTTCTAATAGCATCTTTAAATTCTTTATCTTTTTTTTATGTACTATTCGGTCAGTTCTTCAGATCACCAATATTCTGTTTGGGTGTTAGAATAATATATTCTAATCATTTTTTCATTTATTTCACATAAAAGTTATTCAGCCGTTACTTGAATTAGTGTTAACATGTTCTTTTTTTTTAACCTTAAACAAGAGAATCAGATAAAGTTGAATAAGATTTATATTTTTAGACATGTTCAAGAAAAAAATAACACACACATCCACATACGGTCACGATTTTCGGGCCTTTTTGTGACTCCTTCATCTTCCATGATCATTCCACTGATCAAATAAGAATAATAGATTAAAGAACCAAATGATGTGTATTTAAATATCTGAAATAAAGAGATAAAAGCATATAATTAACTCTCATTGAATAGATAGTTAGTTATAGCCATTTGCATGTCAAAAAAATGTTCCTAAAAAAAAATTTATACAAAAGCCAATCATTCAATTCTTCCTCGCTAATAATCAATCACTTAAACATCTTTATCTAACGATTTATTGTTCTGTTGTATCAATTTGATAAAATCTTTTATTCTTATCCATAGATTTTTATAAATTAGTGACAAGAGAGAATTTTTTTTTTCTATAAGAAATTATCAAAAAAAATCTTGCAAGAAACGATATAAAAAAAAATCCTACTCAACTTTTTAACAGTTATTAGAATTGTAAACAAATAATAAACGTGAGTATGCATAGAATCAATTCTAGAAACCAATAGAAAGTATATTTAAAAAAAAAAGAAAAGAAAACCTTTTTATCAGACTCGTGACTATCATATTGTATATATATATATATATATATATATATGATATTATACTAAAATTCTCGAATATTAAGAATTTCTATTTCTACTGTTTCGATTACTATTAAGACCATAATAATTTCTCTAAACTTAATATATACATTGTCTGTTGTTCTTTTCCTATTGTTTTCATTACATATTTAGCTGAACTGAATATAGTTATTATAGATTTATATTATTGAACGTTAAATACGATTTTCTTCTTCCTTTTTTTTTCAGTTTTTCTTTTGCACCTATATTGTTCGTTGAAAATTACTTTCTTCTCTGTAACAGCTACTCGGAACAACTAAAATCTATTGTAATTTTTTTTTTTCTTCTTTTTTCCTATTCTTCTTTACATTTTTTTGTAATAGACTATCTAACTGTAGATCGACTATGATAGATTATTGAAAAATAGATGGTTTTGGTTGTAAAAAGCACTAAAGAAAAAGTTCGATGGATACTTGCTCTTTCTTACTAGATTGTTCGATTTCAATGGAATTCCAAATATTAATAAACGTTCTTTTCCTAATGTAAACAGTCGTCATCTATTAAAAAGCAAAGAGGGAAAGAAAAGCTGACGAACCCATGAATCGTTGTAAAGACTCTTGTAAACAACTGAAAGGATACATTTTTTATAGGTAGATGTTAATATGAGTATTTAATATTGATATTTTTCTTAGAAAAAATATAACTCAAAATTGAACGATAATTTTGCGGTTAGGAGTTACCTTTAAAAATCTAGATCCTCTATAATTTCTTCAACATGTGCACACATTTAGATTATATAAAGAAATATATGTCATTACGGTAGTAGGGCTAATTCGATATATTGAATATTTCATCTAGATGAAGAGTTTATTGCATTATCACAACAAAACTATTCAAATTATCTAATGATAGTAAGTAGCAGATGTGAAAAATATCAAAAGAAAGATGCTAAAAGTATTAATTATAATGTCTTTTTTTTTTAAAAAATGAATAGTGTGTATTTATTTAAAAAATGAATAATACGTCTTTGAAAAAGAAAAACACATCTAAAAAAAATGAGTAACAATGTAGAAAAGAAGAGAATTCTACTATCATCGTAATACAAAAACAACATTGACCTTTGTACAAGAAAAATTCGTAAAAAGTAGAATAAAATCATTCAACTCAAATATGAGTTTGGCGAGTAAAACCAGACGGATAAAAGAAAAATACATATAGTTTTAATAGAAACAAAAACTACTGTTGTATATCTTTGGACTAACGGACGAATTTAGACTTATACAAATAATTACATTTGTTAATTTTCTTTCCAATTTGGATAGTTTTGAATTAAAATTTGTTTTATTTCATCTAGAAGAGGTTTAATGTAGAAAATTTCATAGATATTACATAGGTTTATATCTTACTATAAAATAATATTCGTTGTAAACGTTTTAAACTTTTGAGAATATCATCAATGAGTAGTGAAGTATTATCGTCATATTTCTCCTCTAAATAATCCAAAATCTACAAAGACAAACATATAACATACAAGAATTGAAGTTAGAAAATGGAAAGGCATACAATTCGAAATTTTTCTTTTTGACTAATTGATTGTTTATTAATTTCATCTATTTGTATATCTTTTATTTTCATTTCTCTGGCAATTAGTTTCCATTTATCGGTAATATTTTCAATGAGATAGGTTTTGATCAGATTGAAATTTATATTTTCATTGTCAATCATAATTGAACAATCACTCTGATGATGATGATTATTTGATAAACATATCTGTTTTGTTCTTTTTGATGTTGATGATAGAGAATCAGTCACTGTGATCAATGAACGAGATTGTTTCAATGATGATTTTGATCGTGTATCTTCTATACAATAATATAATGATTCAGAATTTGTTTGAGAATGAAAAATTGAATTTGTTGATGATGATAGAGATTTCATTGATAAATCTAATACACCATTTGGCATTATAAGCACACGAGGAGATATTGAATTCGTTGTTGTAATGCCTGTAACAATAAATTCGTCAATTATAGTACCTTTTGATTATCCTGTGTGAGTCAGAAAGATAAGAAAACTACATACCATAATCAAAAATATAACGTCGTTTGGTCTCTGTACTACGTTTTCGTGGTTCAACTTGTCTACCAATCATTCCTTTTCAGAAAAAAAACAAAGAAAAGAATAGAACAGATGGTTAAGTAATGAATATACATGTTACACAAACCTGGAAAAAGGTAGAGTGCTTTTTTTGTTAATAATGACTTGAATTCAGCTGTTTGTTTTTTTCCTTTATTTGTCACTTCTCGTGAAACACAACCATTTATCTAAAAAGAAGAAAAATCATAATCTGAACATATGCCTACATTTTTGTCAGTGACTATTAACCATATTCATCATTGAACATAAATCGGTATCTTTGGAATGTTTTGAAAATATATCGACTAATGCATTCATGTACCAACTTCCAACATTAGGCTTTCGAAATGCCGTATAACCTGCAGAAAGAAAGTCATGAATAGACATACATTCGTTATGAAAAGAAAATTAAAACCTTTTTGAGATGGAAATCCAATTAACATATCTGATCTTGTTGGCAAATGATTCATACTGTCGCATTCATCTTCTTCAACGCATTCAATTGTATAATCACTAACATCATTGAAGGTAGTTTGTTCTAAATCAATGTGACAGCCAGGATCATCAACTGGACCTAACACAGGATCTAAATAAACGAGCAAACAATTGAAAACAAAAAAGGTTTAGATTTAGTTGATAAGAAAAACATTGATACCATCTCTGCAACATTGAATAAAGAATAATTTTGGTTTTCCTGCTAAATTTGGACAATTAACATTACTGAATAAATCAAAAATTTTCTCGAGATAAATCTATAAAGAAATTTTTTTCATTATCCACATCATTTACATGTGAAAAATATTGACCTACTTTTCCTCCGTCTTGAGCCGTTAAAGATCCTTCTTCACCATGACTCATTAAACACAATACACAACATTGCGAATTAATATGTTTAGATGATTGGGCAAATTGTCGTAAAATTTCCATAAAATTCTAACATATCATTCAAATGTTAAGTACAATATATAAACTTGAAAATGGTACACTTACTTTTGCTCTTAAATCGTGTCCTTTAAGATCCGTATAGATGGTTATTTCAAAAAATAGTTGTTTAAATAATTCATTGAGTAAAGCCGTATCTAAATTCGACCATCGTCTTGCCGTTCCATTGATCTGATACACATTAATAATTAAACACTGTCCTCTTGGCATTTTATACATTGGATAAGCCTAAATGAAAATGATATATTCTTTTAGAAGAACAAGTGTAAGATGATAACCTACTTCATTTTTGTGCATGGAGAAAAATTCTTTGGTACACGGTTCGACTTTAATCGGTCGAACACCATAATTAGATGTGAAATCAATTTGACGATTTTGATTTGTTGGGTTATCCACTGACAGTAGTTCTACGGCTGAATTATTATCACTAGTGTAACTGTTACTTCTTTTCGATAGTTCAGCATCGCTGTGAGAAGATGACATTGGATAGTACGTACTTCTAATCTACTATGACATCTAGAATAAACGAATCCACAATCGAATCAATAAACATAAGTTTCATTCAAGCTTTTAAATAATAGAGTTACGTACATATTTCGAAAGAACTGTAAATGATGGACTAACGTTTTTTAATTGATACTGGATACAATTTACAATAAAAAAAACTGTTAAAATCTATTATACAAAAACAATAAATGAAAAATTCGTTAAAATGGAATATATATAAAAGAAAATATATGAAAAACATAAAATAGACTGATAATTTTTTTGTGCATTATAGAGACTCGATAGAGGACCTATGTACATTTAAAAAACAACCGAAGTCGAAGTCGTGACCAAAAAATGAGGTCAGAAGTTAGCAGACTGTCCTTTATGAATATTTTGAACCATTTTATTCTGTTTAAAGGATGAGTTGTATATGAAAGTAAAATAATCATTTCAGTTTTACTACTATTCTTTTCAAATTATAAGAGCCCTGGTTGTTTTTTGAATAACTTTTGATTCGAATGGGATAGAAAGTTACGGTTTTTATCATTCAAAAGAGGAGACACATGGGGACATATCTCTTTTTAACTAATATTAAAAAAATTCACTGTTCATTCAGAAAGCATCAGAATAAGTTCAGAACTTCAAAATATGGTTAATTTTGCAAGTCTCGATCTCATTCCTATCAAAAGTTATTCAAAAAGCAACCCGGGCTCTTATAATTTGAAAAAAAATACTAGTTTTTACAAAGCAAACATTATAATTCTGAGTAACATCTGACAATTTAGAACGCAAAAAACTAGATATCACTATTTTGGCGATTTTTACGTATAAATTGCATGCCTAATAGAGGATGTGCACATTACCATCACCTCGAAGAGACGAAAGCATAGGAATGTGGAGAAAGTACAATTAACGCTAGTACAAGTAAAAATAAAAATAGCGAATATGAGTAAGTATATATACACAAAGAATGCAATTTGCATTAGAAAAATACTTAAAAACCTAAAAATATAAAAATATTACAAATAAGAGTTTGTACTAAAGGTAACTGAATAAGAGCTAGAAAATAGTGAGATTATTCTATACCACTTTGAGACGATACACTTCTATGTATTGATCGTCGATCTTGGTTGATATAGTACACTATTACTATTATCTGAATCATAATCATTGCCATTATTACCGTTTAATCGTGTATTTTTCATACCCGTGTACGAATATTTTAAATTACTTGTTGCTGAGGGCGTCTGATGAGAATGATGATGATGTTTATTACCATTACTTGTTTGTGAACGAAGAGAATTTACTGAATGAGAACGATCGTGGATTATACGTTTTCTATCATCGGCTTCATCACGCAAAAATATATATTCTTGTCGATTACGGTGAAATACAAATAACATATAGCAACCCATGGCGATACCAAATAAACCCATGAAAATATTTTCCCAAAATCCACGACGATACCAATAATTCATAACCGGACCACAGCCACGAGTATTCACTATTTTAGGATCTGGATTAGCTAACATACCAGAACCACAACCAAAATTCATTTGATACTTAAATGATGAAAAACTTATTTTATGCAGTCTGAAGTTGTTCTGTTGTTGAGAAAGCGTCAATTGGTCACGCATCATCAACATTATGTACGCCTGTAACATACAAGTGAAATCTAAACATACCTTAAGACAACATGTATCGGGTAAATCATTCACATAACTTCCTGAATAATCCAAATAACTGAAATAAAAGATAAATTTGTTGAAAAACTGACAGTAACCTAATCTGACGTGAACTTTTGTCTCACCTATTCCATCCACAACAATGAAAATCCCGTTGTCGTCTGAAATGAAAATGAATCTCTTATCGCTTGCTGATTTGATATGAATATTTCAACTTACTGGTTAACGAATGCCGTCAAAATAAATACACGTGGCGGTACTCTTCCTTGTGTTACTAATCGAAAAGATTCCTCGCGATATTTCAATTCTTTAAATGCATTTCCTTTAAATCTTAAACGTTCAAGTAGAAATGTTTCTTTCGTCAAAAAGCCCGCATTCATATTGATCATTGTTACAGCAAACCAGCAAATACCGCCGATAATAGTTATTATGGCTAAACCAAATAAACTGTATGGTACATATTCCATCAGAAATATATTTCGACGACGATAGGCATGAATTTGGAGAGCAATAACTAGAAACAAATAGACAAGATTGAAAAAGATTTTTAAACTCATTTAAAAACTAAATTCATACTCGTTAATAAAACAAAACCATAGATGTAAATAAAAGCCAGATAAACACGAGTGATTGTCAAACGATCCCAATAATATATAAACATGTTGAACTCCACCCATGGCATCGTATAATCTGTCCATATTGTCCATTCTTCAAAGAATCCCCAATATATTGACATTGACACAATAATAAAGATGGCGAATGCTAATAAGATACCATTGATAGTCATTAAGACACGATATTTATTCTGTATATTCTATATAGGAAAGAAAACATGAGATAGTTTTTTGTACAACCGAAGAAGAACCAATCCACTTACGCGTTGACGTCGTCCATACTGAATCATCTTCATGTTGAACGTTGGTTTATCGATCTAGATAAAAACTAATCGTTAGATTCAATTAAAAACCAATGAAGCTCGAATGACAGATTGATACTGTCATCTCTCGGATTTTCTCTTTGCTCATCTCATCTCGTAGGGTTCGGGCAACTTAATTGAAGATTTATAAGATGTCTCCATCGTAGAAAGTTATCATTCCGAAAGTGTCATACATTTCTTCAAACTGGTGATAAACTAAAAAGAAATTCGTCTAATAAGTGCGTAACTGCTTTTGTTAAAAGCGAGGAATATTATGCCCATCTTTGAGCTATTAAAAAAGGATTTCTTCTCTATCAGTATTATACATTCAGCACTATTTTTAGGCTTAACCATGCATAAGTTTTTGAGAATTCTTTGTTTTTCACCAGTGCACTTAGCGTTTATTATAGTCTTAATATTAGGACAAAATCAATGAATGAATCATAGACAGTATTATCAACCAATAAAACTTCCACCTCTGCCATTGTGATCTGTTTGTCGTTAGTGAAGATGTATGTTAAAGAGTTTAGTAAAGCTATGACGAAGTAATTCTCTTCTTTTGTTACTGAATATTACTAAAAGTTTCGGACCTTTTAAGTTTTACTTAGTTCGAAACATTTATCCTCAAATTAAATAATCAGTAAAGGAGCCACATCTATACTACTTGAGTTATTACAAGTACGATATCAATGAATAAACGGAATTTGAGTTTTATATTAGAAATTTTATGCCCAATGAAGGTTCGAATCGAGT